CAAAAATAGGAAATACGTATTTTTCCGTTTTCCGATCCACCCACAATTTCTCGGGATATTCAACCGTTCCGGGACTTTTAGACCACCCTGTATATGAAATGACTCGGGAAGACATCCCCAACAACATATTTAAAAATCAAGCGAATCGGAGAGGAAGTCGCTTTTATGCACAATTACCGAAATTTTATATATTTTCTTACCTAACGGAGCGGTATTTTCATCGTCCGATGGAGGAGTCGAGTTAAATGTTAGGTCGTCGTTTAGGTCGAGTATATCTGTGCGATTATCATTAGTGTTCGTTGTAGCACCTAATAATAAATACATAAGTGTTAAAAGTTACAACTAAACATAAAACTAATCTTATGTAAGTAATTTGCTAAAAGTATATAACTGTTCGAGATTCATTTCTGAATCTCGGTCAGTTCGTCACCTGCGTGATGGCAGCATCAGCCGGGTCGGATCGTGCAGCGCCGCAGGAGCGCTGCGCGCGCATGCCCGATCGCGACCCGAGGCGACGGCGCTTCTTCACGTTCGTTACCGGCGCTTTTGGCTCATGGTTAACCGTACATAGTACACGCGTCGTGTAGTGCAAAAGATTCTCAAGTGCTCTAGTGGACCTTCTCATCCGAGACTTGACTCAGTGCGGACACGTAGTGAACGCTCAGCAGTGCGAATCATCCAGGACAGCTCAAGATACAGCGTCAAGGCAGCTCAGGCTCACCACGCATCGCACGCCGGCGCCGCGTGGACACGGCTCACGGGCATCTACATTCACGAGGCCGGCTCTCGATCAATAATATCGACCCGTGCAAGTGATTAAAAGACTTCTCATTCCCGTCATACTCATAGACTTCTCAACTGTAAGCATACTGTGATTATTAAATCGTGATACGGCATTTTACTCTAATCGAACCGAGTTACGATCACGTGATATTCAACCCTCTCACGCGTGAATTCTTTCCTTGAGCCTCTCACCGCTAAGTCCTCTCACCCTGCTTCCATCCGCAGCGGTACCAGCGAACTCTCCTAGCGAGAATCGCTAACATTTTTTGGTCCTTCGAGCCGGATTGTGGCGAGGCTCTCGGACGGATTAGCTCAATCTTATGGCCCTTTCACGTGATCGGCGGCGCGCACATACACGGTCCCACTCATCGATCACGTGATCTCACGGCCCTTTCGCGTGATCAGCGGCGCGCACATCCCACTCATTGATCACGTGATCTCACGATCCTCTCGAGTGACAGCTCATCGGCGGCGAGACTTCTCAACTCTCCTCATGGCGGACGAACCAAAAACGGGCAAGACGGACCGCCCGAAAACCCCGGTGTTGCAAGTGCCGCAGGAAGACCGCACGTCGGGGAGGACGACGTCTCCTGCCCGGCTTCCGACGGAGCTCGCGCTGAAGGTCCGGACGCAGATGGGCCGGATCGCGTCGCTCAGGGAGCTCACAGAATCGCTGCCGGATGTCCCGGCACAGACATCCCTCGAAGAAGTGAGCCAATTTTAGCTCCTGATCGAGGAGACGCACAAGGCGCTCCTTAAGGAACACGCCTACTTCGAGGTCTCATGGCCCTCTGCGCTCACTCATCACGAGCATTTCTCGGGAAACGCTCATCAGGAGGAAACGCTGTGCCACATGCAAGCGCGACGCATCATCGGCGTACTCCGCCACTCACTGACAGCTTCATCTGCTCAATCAACCTGTGGTTCGTTGGTCACGCCCTCAAATTGAAGAGACGGTGCAGTCGTCGAGACCAGCTCACACGTCCGCTCATCCTGCTCAACGTTACTCGCCACAGCCTTGGCATTGATCAGCTCATCCAACACTCATCACTCAGCGCGTCTACTCATTGACGCAGGATCCGAATTCACCTTCGTCACGGAGAATCTCATTCGGCAGCTCAACGTCCCTCGTCAATACTCAGACTATTGTCGTCAATGGAATTGCAGGCAAGGAGTGTACTCGGAGTACATGAGGAGTCGTGTCGCTCACGTTACGCTCGACACATTCCAACGCAGCGGCCACAATTCAAGCTCATGTCCTCCGGACAGTTACATCAATCTTACCATCTTTCGAGGCGGAACCGGAAGAATGGCCGCATCTCAGGAACTTGGCATTAGCCGATCCAGATTTTCTCATCCCGCGGCCAGTTGACATCCTCATCGGCGCAGATGCATACGGGCAAATCATCAAGCCCAATATCATTAGGCATTCTCCACTCATGCCGATAGCGCAACTCTCCATTTTCGGATAGCTTGTTCTTGGACCAGTCAATAGAGAAGCAACACGCACATTAACGCACCATGCTTCTACTTAAGTCAACGAGGATGCTCTCAATGAATTACTGACAAAATTTTGAGTTCAAGAGGAGGTGCCTACTCACGATGTCAATCAATTCACCCCTGACGAGCAGAGGTGCGAATAACACTTCAAGGCTACACACTCTCGTGATTTATCAGGGAGATACGTCGTCAGGATTCCACTCAAATCACCAGTAGATCTTCTGGGTGATTCGTACAACGCTGCTCATCAATGCCTCAAGGGATTACGCAGACGATTCTCAAGGGATGTGAAATATCAACGTCTCTATCAACAATTTATGATAGATTACGAGACACTCAACCACATGACGAATCATCCATCTCCAGTCGTCGCTCACACTTCTACCTGCCACATCACGGTGTTCTCAAGCCTGACAGTACAACAACAAAGCTGCGGGTCGTGTTTAATGGCTCCAGCGCATCCACATCAGGCTACTCTGTCAACGACCTCATGTACACGGGAGCGAAATTGCATCTGAACATCTCAGATGTTCTCCTCTGGATACGGAGACATCGTCACATTTTCGCTACGGATATCACCAAGATGTACAGGCAGATCAAAATTCACAAGGATGACTGGAAGTTGCAGCGGATACTCTGGATGGACGATCAACTCAATGAAGTGCCATATCATCTGACAACGGTCACCTACGGGACAAAGGCCGCGCCGTTCTTGGCCGTAAGGACGCTGTTACAACTAGCAGAGGACGAAGGACATAAATACACTGGCTGTGCCATCCATCACTCACGGCAGGTATGTCGATGACATATTTGGTGGTGCAGATACAATACAACAATTGCAGGAGGTCGCACATCAACTAAAGGGCCTCTGCATGGCGGGCGGCTTCCCACTAGCAAAATGGCATGCAACTCATCTCGACATACTCAAGACTGTCACCGACAGCGAAGACCAAGGCTTACCAATCACATTCGACGATTGCGCAACCAAGATACTCGGACTCAAATAGCTCCCTCAAGAAGACACCTTTGCATTCTCAACACGAAGCTCACGCACTGAAGGCAGACTCACAAAACGCCTCGTCTTATCTGAAGTGGCTCAGATATTCGATCCACTTGGCTTTGCATCACCCGTCGTGATCAAGGCCAAAATTCTCTTGCAGGAGCTGTGGCTGCATAAGCTCCAATGGGATGATCCACTGCCATCCCAGCTCTCAGCCCGGTGGCTCATTATCAGAGAAGAACTCACAAGCTTGGCCAAGCTCTCAATATCTCGGTGGCTCAACACATGGAGCGACTCGCAAGTGGAACTTCATGGATTCTCTGATGCTTCTCAATTGGCAATGGCTGCAGTCATATACATATCCGTTCACGACTCAACCGGCGCCACGTTCTCACTTGTGTGCTCCAAGACTAAGGTAACACTTCTCAAGCGGCTCTCAATCCCGCGACTGGAACTCACGGCTGCTCTACTGCTCTCTCGACTCATGCAATACGTCAAAGCCACTTTGAACATGGACGTAACGGCAACTCATATGTGGACGGACTCTCTAGTGACACTTTCGTGGATCAGATCTCATGCATCACGCTGGAAGGATTTTGTCAGGAACAGGGTGGCTCAAATTCAAGAACTCACTCCAGCTGCTCACTGGAGATACATACCTGGAACTTCCAATCCGGCTGATTGCGCATCACGAGGCCTCACGACTGCTCAACTTCAAAGCACTCGCTTTCGTGGACGGGACCATGATGTAAGTATAAAGGTGTACCATTGCGCATAATGGCGTCATCCGTAGTGACGTATGTGTAGTAGGCCAATGAAAAATGGCCAGGAATGCAGCCGCGAAATTCAAATGCTCTATTAATCGTATATTACTAAATATATATTAAAATATATATTTTAACTTAAAATTTGTAATAAACGAATAATATTTCAAGATATCCTCTTCAAGATATCCTCAATAGGCTCCACGTCCGTATTCTCGAGGCCCCTGCTATCAATCTCCGTCGCCAGCCATTCTCTTAATACGCACACTTAACCTTACCAACACTGTTTATTCTGTGTGACACTGTCAGCAGCCATATTGAATTCTAACATTCCTGGCCATTTCTGATTGGCTATCATTTTTGACGACTGCGCATCCACGGGAATGGAACACCTTTATACTTACATCATGGACGGGACCACCATGGATACTCAAACCAGACTCATGGCCGTCGCAACCAGCACTCTCCGAAGAATTGAGTGCAACTGAAGCTCGCCCAGGCGTTTCGCTATTGACCGTTACGCCACGGACTGACTATCAATGGGAACTCATCTACAGGTACTCAAGCCTCACTAAACTATTGAGGATTACAGCTCTCTGTTTCATATTCGTCTCACGGTTGAGGAAGGTCCACGACTCATTGCCTGTCAGATACATCTCTCCAGAGACCTTGGAGAAAGCGAGGCTCTTCTGGATTCAGGCTACTCAAGCAACGTACTTCTCGCACGAGCTCAAGGCGCTACAAGCCGACTCACCGTTGGCAAAGGCACACGCATTCAACAGATTAACTGCGTACATCGACGCTCAAGGAGTCATTCGCGTCGGCGGACGACTCGCTCACGCAGCTCTCTCACTCGATGCGACACATCCTGTAATATTGCCTCGTCACTCTCAGCTGTCGTCATTGATCATCGCTCACGCTCATCAACGGACTCTACATGGAGGCACGCAGCTTACGCTGTCGCACATCCGACAACAATACTGGATTCTCGGCGGGAGGGCTCCTGTCAAGTCTCACATTCTGCGGTGTGTCACGTGTGCTCGGCAGAGGGGGATCCGTGCTCATCAATTGATGGGCCAACTACCTCTCTCTCGGGTTACGCAGGCACGACCGTTCACTCATACAGGTGTGGACTACGCAGGGCCACTCACCGTCAAAACATGGAAAGGAAGAGGTGCCAAAACCTGTAAAGGCTGGATCTGCGTTTTCGTCTGCTTCTCAACCTCAACAGTACACCTCGAGGCGGTCAGTGATTACTCATCCGAAGGGTTCATTGCCGCCTATCGACGCTTCTCATCCAGACGCGGCATCGCTCACACCTTACACTCAGACTGCGGCACCAATTTCATCGGCGCGGATACAGCTCTCAAAAGGCTATTCATCCAGAGCACTCAAGAACATCAGCGAGTTTCTCACCTGCTCTCGCAAGACAACACCCGATGGAAATTCAATCCCCCAGCGACACCTCACATGGGAGGAAAATGGGAGGCCATCGTAAAATCACTCAAATTCCATCTACGGCGCACCATTGGAGAAGCCGTACTCACCTATGAGGAGCTCACCACATTGCTCACTCAAATTGAGGCAATCCTCAACTCGCGACCTCTCGAACCATTGAGTGACGATGCGGACGACATCTCAGCACTCACGCCAGGCCACTTCCTCGTAGGAAGTCCGCTCACCACCATACCAGAGCCATCACTCACCGTACAGTTAATTAATGAACTCCTCACGTTCTGTCCTTAACTGACTTATTTCTATTTCGTGTTTAATTTTAATCTCCGCAATTTCCATTTCCTTTTGTCTTACGTACGACTTGTCCAGCTTCATTATTTTTGCCAAATTTAGAGATTCTTTAGATCTTGTTTGCAAAATTCGTTTCCTTTTTCTTACGTCTACTGGAAAATAAAATTGTAACTTGTGTAAAAAATATACTATGTATTATGTATTACATATTTCTTTGGTTTAACTTTTTTTTGAGAAATTTTATATATTTTCTTACCTAATGGAGCGGTATTTTCATCGTCCGATAGAGGAGTCGAGTTAAATGTTAGGTCGTCGTTTAGTTCGAGTATATCTGTGCGATTATCATTAGTGTTCCTTGTAGCACCTAATAAAAAATACATAAGTGTTAAAAGTTATAATTAAACATAAAGCTAATCTTATGTAAGTAATTTGCTAAAAGTATAACTTGTAATTAATAATTTTGTATTTACTTTTGTCCAATATTGTCAATTCATCATCTCCTTCGTAAATGTCGTAAATTTGATTATTTTCTCTAAAAATAAAACAACAGCCATGTTAATAAACGACATGGTAAAAATCGTCGGAACGGAAACGCGAGACAATTTACTACAAAAGTATAAGATATACTAAATAACGACAACATTAAAGATTGTAACGTTGGAATTTTTGAGCTACGGATAGCCTGGAGATTCCAAGGTTCGGTCGGTGGGCTGGTGGGCTCGAAGAGTGAAGGATGAGACTTATATTTCCAATAAAAGACTATTTTATTCTAAGTTCTACGTACTTGTAACGAAGCGCTCGCCCCTTGCTCTTCCCGGTTCTGGTTTCCGGATTGTCGGACGGGATTCCGAAATCCGCTTGAGCTTCGCGTAACTATCAGACGCGCGGTTCGTCTTAATCGGTCGGAAGAGCGAGCGTCGTTCGGTCGGGGTTTGACGTGCTGTGTAACGGAAAAAGGGATCCTCCGTTCCTCCTATTTGCCGAATATGCTCAGCTCCAGGGCCGTCGGGAGGAAAGGAGGACAAGATCTTAATTACTTAGTAAAGGCAATCGCTTGGGGGAATCGGAAAATAAGTCGGACAGGTGTTTAAAGGTTAAATAAGCGTGAACTAGGTTTATTCAGGAACGAATACAAAGGATTTCGTGGTGATTATAATAGGTCCGCCCTAGAGTGAAAATACAAAGGAAGAAGAAAGGATTAATATTACAGTGAGTCCGCCCTGTGGTTAAATACAGAGAAAAACAGGATATGGTTAGTCGGAATCAATCAGAGTATGGAAAATAATAATTACAATACGGATTAATTACGGAGCACGAAAGTAAGTGAATACAATATGGATCTACTACAAGGTACGGACAGTACGGAATCGATTCGGAATATAA